AACAATCAGGTTCCTCTGGCCCCTTCTAGTGCTCCTAATGGCATTTTCATCTGGCTTGAACGAAAACAACCAATCAGAACCATGAAAGATATAAAGACGCTTTGGGCTGGTGGTTGGAAGGTAGTTGATGGTTGAGTCTCATTTCCAGCGTCTGTACTGGGAAGGAGACTTAACGATCAACTATCTTTCTTGGCTCAGGTTTTTGGTTTTCCTTCAGACCCAGACAGCTTTAAGTAAAATACAAAATGACCAGAATACAGCTAAATAAAAAGCATCTAAATGGGTGACTCAGTTTATTTATATACCTGTGTTCAAAGACAAACCCATCTCCTTTTTATTGTAAAATAGAAGCAATCTTTACCAAATAATATATGCATATTGTACATAAACTATAAATACTATAAATAAACTATTACAAAACTATTCACTTTCTTCTAATTAATAAATTCTTATTTTCTTTTGTAGTTTTATTGTAATATATAGATATGCAATGATGAATGCTGTGTAATCTGTTGACGTGCCCAGTCTCTATTTTATTATGTGATGAGACAATACCATTGTAACTGTAAAATCCAATAGTTCTGTGTGTGTGAGGAACTACTGTGCACTAGCGCACTGGGGCCAGTGGTAACTACCTTAGGCCACTGGGCTTCGCTATTGGTTAATCCCATTAAGGCTCTTCTTCCATCTCCGTGGTTTTACTCCAGGGCTTTCACCATGCAGCAATAGAAACAAAAACAGGCGACAGTCAGTTATTTCTGGAGATGAGATCTGCAGCAGGAAGTGAAAGTGTCTCTCTATTTACATTAATGTAATTCTTTCGAGTTTATGCAATCATGGCCACACCTTATTTTCCTCGTATCTCCACCAATTTTACACTGGATAGAGCTCCAATCTGCCGGAATAACTGAAAATATTGAAACAATTATTGAAATTGTTCTGTGTTTGAGATGTTTAGCATTCTGTTTATACATATATACCAAAGTATACCCTGAAAATTAAATTAAAACATACATTTGGCCAAATGAAATATTCACAAATACAAACAGTAATGCAGGACTAATTAGCTGACAATAATCATATGAAATAGAACGCAAAACAAATGAGAATTTATTAAGATTAGCTATGCATTAAGAATCAACATTTAAATGATAGTGAGGTACTAATAATAATAATAATGATATATTAATGATTCCCACTGACTTCACTGTTATGTTGTATAAAAAAGAAAAAGTGATATGCTTTTTTTCCAATTTCTAATCAACCAACATTCCTTCAAAATGTGCGTAAGAAACTTGGTAAATTTCTGTCATGTTTCACGTCAACATCATCCTTAACAAAGTTTCTGCTTTCACTGTGAAGTAATTACGTATTCTGTATTGTAGCTCCATGCCGAGGCTATGGTGAAGACCAGGTCTGGAGACAATCTGGTAAGAAAAAGGCGAGAATGGATTATCCCTCCAAAGCCACTGATGGAAAATGTAGACTTCACTCAAGAAGAATTTATTGCCAAGGTGAGTGAATGGTCTCTAATTCACTTTCATTCTACCCACTAACTCTGAGGGAAAACTGCTGGAATAAGCTGACAGATAAAGCAGTCTGGTAGGATTTGTGCTTCACTAGCTCTGACATTCAATTCCTCTTCACTACAGACTGTAACCATGGGTAAGGAGACATTTGGGACCCTGAAATTATTGCAAGCCATGCGTTTTAGTTTCAGTAAGCTTCAGCAGTATGTGTTAAAACATTTAGATTATTGAATCTGCAGTGAGAAATAAAAATAAACCACTATCTGTCCCACCGAGGGGGCCACTGGAACAAACAGACTAGGATGTATCTGCAGACTACAGTGTTTACTGGTGCAAATGTTTATTTCTGGTGCAGTGAAATGACTAGTTCTTTGTTTCAGATTCGATCAGATTTTGAAGCCACTGAAGATATTATGTACTCACTAGAAGGTGTTGGTGCAAACAAACATCCCTTCCACGTCTTTGTAGTTGACCGGAAAACTGGATTTATTAAAGTGACCAAAAAGCTTGACAGGGAGGAGATCGCCATGTACAATGTAAGTGATACATGACATATATAATAATAATAATAATAATATTGCACTTCTTTTTTAACTTTTATGTCACTTTTACCTTGATAAGATTGTTGAGGCATCTGGCAGCCATTTACTTACACAATAATGCCACAACCTATTCATATTTGTGAATGCATGTACTAATACAGTTTTCTGTTTCAGCTGTCAGGTGTTGCTCATAACATGGCCAATGGCAAAGAAGTAGAGAAGAAAATTGACATAAGAATCAAGGTTGAAGATGACAATGACAACTCTCCAGAGTTTGGAATCATCAGACCTGTGGCTGTGGATGAGCTCAGTCCCACAGGTCAGTGTTTCTGCTTTTGGGTACAGTTGGGTACATGATGGCATAGTAATCCTACACGGCTTCATTATAAATAAAAAGGGCATGTTAGACATCTGCATATGCAAGATTACATGTTTTGTTACCTACTTCTATGAAGCTGCGTAAGGTCATAAGGTCAGCCTGTGTGTGCAGGGGAAGACATTACTCCCAAAGAAAATAACGGCTGATCATGATTGATCTGATCTCATATGAAAGAATGCAAACAGCTTCACTAAAGCTATGCAGTGCAGTGCAAACTGGCCAACAGCAGATAAATAGCATGACAGTGTACAGGCAACAGGTATCTCTGAAGCTGAAACAGCCTATTCTTAAGCTACCTAAAGGTGGATGCAACTACAAACACTTGAGCTCCACAAATATTATTTTTTCTCTTTAAACATCTCGAAACATTTCAGTGCAAATAAATACATCTTGCATATTCAGCATTTACAGTTGGTCAAATCAAATAACATTGAATGTCTTTATCATTATTTATACATTCTTACGTGTTGAAAACCATTGTTTATAAGCATAGTTGTAAACCGTCCAAGGGCTGATTATTATTTTTGTTTTAATCTAATTCCATAATCCAGATGACATGTAATCAGCAAACTTAACATATATGCCACAGAGTTACACTGAAGCATACTATGAATGTACACATTAGTACCAAAAACAGTTAACACACACACTAGGGCAAACCATTTTTTTAAACTCTCTTGCTCACTTGTGCTAGACACACTTCACACCAGATGGCAGTTGGAATGGATTAATTATTTCGTTTATTGCTGTTATTTACAGGGACTACAGTAATGAAAGTAATGGCAACTGATGATGATGAACCAGGGAATAATAACTCTAAGATTGCCTACAGCATCATAAATCAGAGTCCAAGTCATGACATGTTCGGAATTACAAAGGATGGGGACATCTACGTAAATAAGCCTACCCTGGACAGAGAGGTATGGACTACACCAACATTTTGGTTTTTCATAGTTTTTAGCATAGTCAGATGAAATGTGTGTGGCTCTGTGACTTTACATACAAGAAACTTTACTTACCAAACATTGGATAAAATCATGGTGGATGTGTGTGTTGAAAAGTGATTTCTATAAGACAGTTGCTCTGTCCCACGCAGCAAACATTGCAGTAATAGACTTTACTCTTTGTTTCTGGTGTTTTCTACTTTCAGACACAAGACAAGTACATTCTGACAGTGAAAGGTCAAGACTTATATGGTGAACCAGAGGGAAGAGTTGGAAGCGGTACTGTTACCATCAATGTCCGAGATGTGAATGACCACCCTCCCACTCTGGAAAAATCAATGGTAGTTTTCTTTGTCATACTGGTACAAGTAGAAACAGAAAAAACAACAAAAAATGGAAATGTTGACATGCATCTTCAGCCTGGTTTGGAGCCTTAACCACAGCAAAGGAATTCACTTCAACAGCCAGTAGTTATTTCTGAGGTCATGTGGCCGGATGTGGTTCACTTTTGATGTTTTGACGTTGCATCCGAATTTTCAGGAGAGGGGATTTTCAATATTAATTAATGAATTCATATTATTTCATATTTTACTAAAGATAAAACAGATACATTTTTTATTTTTGTTGTTTTAATAATGGTAAGTATTTTGGCTAAATTTCATTTCTTATATTTAGGATGAACATGATTATTGCTGCCCTACATGGGCCCCCAGAAAGACTTTCTCTTTTTCCACCCTTATGGTCAAAGTCAAAGAATGCTGGAAAAGACCCTGTTACCTTCAATCTCAATATGTTTACGAGCAGTATGAGGGCACGCAAATTGGGAGAACACACAAGGGGGAGTGATGAGACTAAGAGCAGACGGACCGTGGACCTGGAGGCACCTGACAACTGGGAGAGCCGTGTTTGAAATTGTCCAAAGGCAACGAGGCAGGGTA